ATATATATATATATATATATATATATATATATATATATATATATAAAAAATAGAAAACATAATTCTTCTGAAAACAACTGGCATCATCTTCCCCTTAACCCTTAATATGTTTTCAGTTCAGTTCAACCACAAATACAATAAATTCTGTTTGGCTAGAAGGGTAATCTTTGTGGATATAAAATTAAATATAATCCTGTAGTTTAAAGTCAGAAATTTTATTTTGGATATTCAAAGTGGAAAAACTGGATATATCCAATAAAATGTTGAATATTCCATAAAATAAATGTTTCAACAAGTAAACGTAGCATCGTGAATATTCACAGTTTAAAGCCAGTTAGTAACAGTGTCAACATAAATACCTAAAGAAACGTTACATATTCATATTTATTAAGTACTTGTTGGAAATCTGTTTTGACCTAAATGAAATTAAATGACAATATAGTTTTGACTAGTACCAGAACTACCTCTAAACCTTCCTACAACAAATAAATAAATGTATCTGGTCCAAAAGCTCAAGTTTGGACCTTTCCACTTGTCAACACATATTTTGATCAACTCCTCTCTGTTTTGTTGTTGTTGTTGTTGTTTGTGTGTATTTTTCTGCTGATAGTGGGTCTTTTCCAGGAACTTCTTCTTTGGAGCTCCTTATAATTCAACATGTGGCCGAGGGTGTGATCAGAAAGTGACGTACCTTAACGTTGGAGTTGAGCTTGAATGGTTCTGGATGGTTCCCTTGGCTCTTTTTCCACCATCTGCATCTGTCTGATTAACCTGGGGTCGCATTTCCTCTTGCGCCACATCCTGGGAAATTGGTTATAGTCCCACAAATTCTATATGTTTGAATATTACTGGCAGCTGTGCTCACCACGAAGCTACTTGGAGATCATGTGGAGATCTCCAATCTTCTTTCCGAGCTCCTCAGACTGATCTCGCCTTTACTTTCTCTGCTCCGTGTTCAGCGTGGTGCCACAACCATCCCTGACCCGACTGTTCGATTCCTTTACATATGATGAAGGCCTGATGAAAATGTAATTTGAAACTTCACTATAATACCATTTAATATATTGTTAACCTGCAAATGACAAATAAACAACATGACATAACCCCGCCTGTTTGCATGGTGTGACCTTCACGACCCAGGAAATGGAAGTGGTTTGATTATATGCAACACGGGCCTGCCACAGAGTGTAACTTATTTATAGATTAGGATAACAGAGGCTGCAGACAAACACGTTATGGGCGCGTGTGATGCGTCACACACTCGGGTTTCCTCCAGTTTCATGACATCACCTGACTCTGACTCATGTTGTCTGGTCCAGATCAAAGTCCCTCCTTGTTTCTATAAAGGAGCAGCTCTTCAGTCAAAGCAAGAGTCCAAACACGAAGCGACATGTGCTCAGAGATCGAGTGCGCGGTTTGTTACCGCACCTACAACCCGGGGCTCCGCTGCCCCCGGGAGCTCCGCTGCAAACACAGCTTCTGCGAGAGCTGCCTGCGGACCCTGAGCCGGCCGCCGGGACCCGAACACGCCGCTCCGCTGCACCACCGGCTCATCTGCTGCCCGCTGTGCCGGGAGCACACCGTCCTCCCCCCGGAGGGGAGCGTCAGGACCGAGCTGAGGGTGGACGAGGTCGTCCTGGAGCGGCTGCTGGCTGCAGGAGTCCTCGACCGGGAGGACGAGCCGGAGGCGGAGGTCCCAGAGAGTCCAGCCGAGGAGGGAGACTCCTCCGCGGGCGTCAGAGGAGGGAGGCCCCGGAGGAGCTGGAGGAAAGTCTGGAGGAGGATCAGCGGGAGCTGCCAGAGACAAGGTGAGGAGGCAGGCAGCAAGCCTCCTGCTGCCCTGGGGTCAAAATGACTGGGAGGAAAAGGTCATAACTACATAAAAAAAAAAAAAAAAAAAAACAAGTTCAAGACAAATAACTAAAATAACCCAGAAAAAAAAGAGGAAAACTATAATAAAACCTCAGTCTGTTCTGTGAGGCTGTGAGATGAAAATAATTTGTGACCTGATGCATGCTCAATAATCCAGGTAGAAAAATCTAACAAAGTTCAGTCAGGTCATCTGAACAGTTTATTTGTTTTGTCTGCTGAAACGTTTCACCTTCCATCCAGAAGGCTTCATCAGTCAAGGAAACGCACAACACAAAACTGATTCTTCCCCCAACAGGAAGGTGAAACGTTTCAGCACAAAAGAAGAAACTGTCCAGATGACCTGACTGAAAATTGTTGGATTGTATACCTGGATTATTGAGCATGGACTTTGTTGGTTTTGAACCAGTTTGACATGACTGTCGACGAGGAAGAGGGCCGGCACCGGAGGAGGGGGCGTGCCAAAGACACCATCTTAGCACCAACATAACTGATTTGTTCCACTTTGGAGTAAGCTGTTTGGGGGAAGAATCAGTTTTGTGTTGTGTGTTTCCTTGACTGATGAAGCCTTCTGGATGGAAGGTGAAACATTTCAGCACACAAAAAAAGAAAGTGTCCAGATGACCTGACTGAAAATTGTTGGGTCATCTGGATGGTTTCGTTTTTTATTTTGTTGAGATGTTTCAGCCTTCATCCATAGGACTTCATCAATCCGAGGAGCCACAAACAAACTGAGTCCCACAAGCAGCACCCATAGTGGACCAGACAGTTTACTGGTGATAAGATGGTTTCTATGGCGTGTCGCTTGTGGAATTGAGTCTGCGGCTCCTCAGATTGATGAAGTCCTTTGGATGAAGGATGAAATGTCGCAACACTCACAAAAAAAGAAATTGTCCAGATGACCTGACTGCACTTTGTTGAATTTTTTTACCTGGATGAGCATAAACTTTGATGTTTAATCCCAAAAGACTTCGGCAGCCTGAGGAGCTGTATTAAACTCAGTCAATAGCACTTATAGTGGATCAACCAGCAATGTTGCCAGATCTCCCGATAAAAACAAGCAACCAGTTCTATCAAAACAAGCCCAGCTGGCAACCCACCACATTGTGTACAGCAGAGGCCGTTTTTAAACAGTATAAACATGCATTTAGAATCAGAATACTTTATTATCATTGCACCGAGATACGAGAATATGTCCGTGCAGAAAGATGGACGGCGCGCACATAGCTGCTGCTATAAAGCGCGGCCTTCTTATCCTTTTCAGAATACATTTTTTAGATAGAAAAAGGGACAAAGCCACGAGGAGAGGATATAGTGGCATTACAGAAAAAGATCTCTTCACACCTTGTCCTAACAAAACACGAGCCAAGACATAAAAAAAAATTATGAACACGCTACATATGCATTTGACAACGGGGCGGTCCATAAAGCACTAATGGATAGTCCTGATAAGATGATCAGCCAGCACAGTTCTGATAAGCCTCCACAGAAGGGGGGGGGGGGGGGGGCTGTGATAGACAAAGTTTTTCCTTAGTTTACACATTTCCCAGGAGAAATTGATAAGTCGGTCTGTTTCGAGGCCAACTAGGGAGTCAGATTAAGACAAACCACAATTGTTGATTTATTCAGGCAGACTATTTTTCCTCGTCAGCCTTTGAGTCTCTACTGATACTTCCAAGGTCCGAAATGGCCAGATGAGGGTGCATTGTACTGGTCCGTGCTTACGAGCCTCTTCAAGGTCGTGTTCATGCTGACGAGTCCTAAAGCCGCAGGCGGCCTGCGATTCAAATCACTTCCATCTTATTATGGCATTACACATAAACAGCAGCAAAATTATGCTAAACACTTTGAATAACATACTTTTAAGCTCTGATAATTAAAAAAAAAAAAATTTTGCATTATGAGTTTTTTTCTACATATTTGTCAAAACAAAACATCCTGACATCTGCGTGTGAGTGGAGCCCCCTAGTGGTCAGCCACAGTATGAGCGTTTGTATACGTCTGTGTGCGCCTGTCGCCTCGCCAACTTGGGCGGGAGCGACAAACAGGAAACGGGCGTGGAAGGGACAAACTACCTACGACCACTCGTCTTTTGCTTTATTGTGCGGAGCTGGGAGATAATCAACTAGTTTCACTCGGAAAGAAAGTAAAGCCCAAATAAGCAACTTCACGTTCAAAACAAGCCCCCAAAAAAACGCAACTCACAACATTTGCAAGCAACTTTAGAAAAAAAACAAGCCCAAAGTTGCTTATAATAAGCAGACTTGGCAACTATGTCAACCAGTTTGTTGTTGACATTCAAAACTAGCTGTTCACATGATAAGTCAAGTCAACTTTACTTATAGAGCACATTTAAAACAGAACCTGTTATCAAAGTGCTTAACAACAACAACATCAATGGGAGTAAAATTAATGAAAAAATACAATACACTAATTATAATAACAGAAGAATTAATAAAAAGCATTTAAAACAGGATCACAGAACAAAACAAACACTAAATCAATTTACACTGTGTGAAATGCCTGCGAGAACAGATGTGTTTTAAGCAGGGATTTGAAGTGAAGAAGGGAGGTGGCCTGCCTGATGTTGTGGGGCAGGTTGTTCCAGAGTTTGGGGCCCATGACTGAAAAAGCCCGATCTCCTCTGAACGTCAGTCTTGTTTTTGGAACAGCCAAAAGCAGCTGATCGGATGATCTCAGGGCCCGAGAGGGAACGTAAGGTTCCAGTAGCTCAGAGATGTAAAGGGGTGCGAGGCCATTTAAGCATTTGAAGGTCAACAGAAAAATTTTAAAGACTATCCTAGTACGAACAGGGAGCCAGTGAAGGGAGGACAAAACTGGTGTAATATGTTCAGACCTATAAGTTCTGGTTAAAAGCCGAGCAGCAGCATTCTGGACGAGCTGAAGACGTGAGATGGAGGCGTGGCTGATACCAGCATACAGTGCATTGCAATAGTCCAATCGGGTCGTGACAAAGGCGTGGACTAGTTTCTCAAGGTTGGGTCTGGACAATACTGGCTTGAGGGAAGAAGCTTTTCTGCAGAACAGAGTTGATTTGTTTGTCAAACTTGAAGTTAGAGTCTAAAACCATCCCAAGATTTTTTACCAGACTGCTTAAGATATGACTGAAGAGAGTCCAGGTTAACAGGATCAGTGGCGGCAGTTGAGCTAGGACTAAAGACAATGACTTCAGTCTTCTCATTGTTAAAACTTGAGAAAGAAATTGGTGAATGGAGCAAACACTTGCTGGTTTCACAGGCAGGTAGATCTGACAGTCATCAGCATAACAATAGAATGAAATACCATGTTTACTCAGGATGGACCCCAGTGGGAGCAAATAAAGTGAGAACAGAAGGGGTCCAAGAATCGAACCCTGTGGGACCCCGCAAGAAAGAGGCAATGAGGCGGATAAAGGGGGACCATCAGCATAACGACCGATTGTTAGTGCCCTGATGGCTGCTCGGGGGCTGAGTGCAATAACAGCATTGCCTCCGCCCCTGTTTAATGATGGACAGTTTCTCTTCACAAAGATGGCTTCCTTCACTCCTCTCTCAAACCATTGTTCCTCTCTATCATGGATGTGCACATCTTCATCCCTGAAACTGATAACTGGTTTAAAAGCCCTGTTCCATATTAGCAAAATATAGTAAAATGGCTTCAAGATAAACAAAAACGTTGCTATTATGAATCCATCCAGCCAAGTTGCTTAAAAAACTTACTTTCAAAAGTCATACACTACTTTACAGTATGACTTGATACAATGAATTAATTAATTAATGGCTTTTTAATTGTCATTTCGATGCAAACATATACACAAGCAAAAAATAAAAACGTCAACTTTTTACTTTAAGATGATGAAATATGACGTAATTTAATGCTCAACCTTTATATTCATTTCTGTCCAAACGCAAGAGTCAGAGATAAAACGTTCAAATGTTTGTTTACATTTTGTTTCAACGTTAGTCTCTTATTTGATCGGCCATGTTTTCTTGTCTTTCCGCAGCCTGTTTGAGCAGCGACGAGTTGAGGAGCCTGGCCATGATGTCCAGCTACTTGTTCTGACCCACACGGCTAATGTGGCAAAGCTTCACCCACTGACTGAAGAAGATGATGAAGATGATGAAGCCTTGCTGGCAAGACGTGGACTCATGAAAATATCTATAAATGTTTTGTTTTCTCATGTTTAAATGCTGACAGTTCTACACTTTAACCTTAAGAACCACAAGTGAATGTACTTACTATTTATTTTAAGATATATTTTTATACACCATGCATTTTTTAAATATTTAACAATAAAGAAACAAGTTCCTATTTTAAAGTTTACTATGGCTCTTTGATGAATTTTTAATGAAACTGTGTGTTTTGTGTGAATCTGCATGAATTAAAAATAGTTTCTTTTAGTTTTGAACAAAGATAAACTCTAACGTAAAGTAAGAAGTTCAAATGCTGAACTGTTGATACATTTTTAATGAAGCTAAAACTGGCAGAAATAAAATCAACAAGCTAAATTATAAACCTAACAATACAGTAGATAGAAACCAAATTAACACAGAACATCCTGTCAACTCATTTGAGATTTGGGGCTGTAGTTGAGATATTTGAGCTTTTGTGATGGTAATCAGCTGCTGTTCGTTGTAGAAAACTGCCTTGTTGCCATGGTTACACATATTAAATTGGTTATTCCTCCATCCATCCATTACCTTTACCCGCTTGTTCCATTTTGGGTCACGGGGGTCGCTGGTGCCCATGTCCAGCAATCACTGTGCGAGGGGCGGGGTACACCCTGGACGGGTCCGCAAGTCCATCACAGGGACACATAGAGACAAACGAGACAAACAACCATTCACTCTCTCACTCACACCTAGGGACAATTTAGAGTTACCAATCAGCCTAACATGCATGTTTTTGGTCTGTGGGAGGAAATTGGAGCACCCGGAGAAAACCCACGCATGCACGGAGAGAACATGCAAACTCCACCCAGAAAGGCACCTGGAC